CCTTCCTTCCTTCCTTCCTTCCTTCCTTCCTTCCTTCCTTCCTTCCTTCCTTCCCAATGTGAAGAAAACTGCAGAATGGGCTCTGTGGGTGAGAAGGGACTGTAGTCTGCCTCCCCCTGCAGATTTAGGCACCGAAAGCATTGTTCCTTCTCCTCCCACCTCTCTTCCCTCCCCCTTCCTGCCCCGGTTTCCTTTCTCCACAGATATTTGGCCGAGCAGATGCGTTCCAAACAGAACCAGTGTGTTTAAAAAAAGCATAATCCTAATTTCTTTGGGAGAAGAGACGGGTTAAAAAGACGAGTGGCTGGCTTTCCATCTGTGTTATTTCAAAGAGTTCCAGTCCAGTCCCGCCAAGATCCAGCTGGGGTTGAGTTCTTTAAACCAGGTGCGACAGCTTTACCTGGTGCTGTGCAAGGCCTGCTCAACAAGATCTCTGGGGTGTCCCCAGTGGAGATGGCCCTCTTTCTGGGAAGCCACAGGTGAAGGATTATGAGCGAGATTCATGCTCTTGCCATCTACGGGGAGAGCAAATGTATTATGTTTTTGTGGATAACTTTCTTTTCCAAACCCAGGGAAAATGAGAGGGAGGGAGAGAGAGAGAGAGAGAGAGAGACAGACAGCTTCTGTTCCCAGGAGCTCAGACATCTTTCCCAGAGCCAAATAACAAGGCGTATTAATAGCCTGGGTGCATAGCCCTTGAAAACCAAGTTTGCATTCTAATCAAGGAAAATGAGCTTGTCTGAAGCCAGAGACAAGGCAGCAACTCAGCTGCACTGAGCTACCCTGTCTAGTAAGTCAGGGGGGGGGGGGGGGGGGGAGGAAGAAGGCCAGGGACAGATTGTGCTAATTGCAATGATTGCAATTAACCAACCCAATAATAATAATAATTTTATATATTTCTTTCATATTAAATTTGGGGTGGCCGCCCACTCCAGTGGACTCTGGGCGGCTTGCAGTGCCTAATACGTCGTTAAAACATTTAAAAACAAGACAGCCTGGACTAAAAATAAACACAATAAAACATGACATGGCAACCCCCCCTCAAAAAAAAAAACACCAAAACAGCATTAAACCCAAGTCTGGGAACAAAGCCAGGTTTATGGGCTTTTCAGAACCTCATATGGTATTAGGACCCGCCCTTTGCAAAAATATATCTAGTTGCACACTTTGGCAAGGTGTGGCCAAATTCTGTCTCTTCTTGGAGACAAGAGACGAAGCTGTTTGCCACTGGTGCGGGTGCTCTTCGCCTTTGATGTGGGGGCTGGGGGAGAGTGGGCAAATGTGGGGAATTATTCACGGCTGCTGCTTCCCAGAGGGGTTGCCTGCCTTTCTCCTCTGATGGCTTTTCAAGAAATCACTTGCTCTGTGCCAGAAGTGGTGGGTGGGCATTTGCAAACGGATCAATCGATCCACCTGCCTGCCTGCCTCCAACCTTCCCGTGTCCAGGGTGACCGAGGATTTGATGAAGAGACATTAAAAGGGCAGCTGTGATGGATGGAGGAGCTAGACCAGTGTTTCTCAACCTCAGCAACTTTAAGATGTATGGACTTCAACTCCCAGAATTCCCCAGCCAGCATGCTAGGGGTTGAAGTCCACACATCTTAAAGCTGCTGAGGTTGAGAAACACTGAGATAGACTATAGGAGTCTTTATGGCTCTCAAGATCCACGTACTGGTTAGTACTCCCTTGTACTCCAGATGTGGGAGGACGGATCACGATTAGATGGTATCCCACCCCAACTTCTTTTTCGGCAGCCTCTAGAGAGGAACCCAAAATAAAATGGCTGAAGAATGTAAGTGGAGTTCTTCTCCTCCTTTTTATTTCGGGCAAATTGAAAAAAAGCAAGAATAACTCCCCACCCTAACAGCACAAGTAAACATTTCAGTTCCATTTCTGGGTTAGCCCGAGAGGAAAGGACTAGCTCAAAGTCACCCAGCTGGCTTCCGTGCCTAAGGGAGGACTAGAACTCGGGCTCTCCTGGTTTCTAGTCCAGCACCTTAACCATCACCCCAAACCGGCTCTACCATCTTGGGGCTATGAAGAACCCCCTGGTGATCTGTCCTTCAAAGGAAGCGATGCAGGCTGAGAAGAAAGTTGTGGGTGGGGTTGGGATCCAGGTCCCTCTTGGAAAACGGGGAAAAACCTTCCTCCCCACAGTCCATTTTTTGAAGAAAAAGCAAACCAGGGAGGAAGTACATACTGCCTTTGTGTGGATCTGAGTTGCAGAGTAACTTGGTTGCAGCCAGGACACTCCGTGTCCTTTTCCCAATTAACATCCTACGGTTTCCAAGTTCGCTTCTGCTCTGCTTGTTGCTTTTCCACCCACAGCTGCAGGGACACTGTGTTTATCTAGGCAAGCTGACCACCCCCACGAAAGGGGGTAGCGTTCAATGTGGCGGATGCCAAAAATGCAACCTTCGTTAGAAAGGTGGGCTGGGAGTAGCAACCTCCAGTTGAGGATGTGCTGCCGAGGAAAAAAACGAAGAGCTTTAATTTTAAGGGGGAAACACAGGGTGGGGGAAATAGATAGAACCTGTGAAGAATAGAGTGTCCCAGCTATGATCTAAAAAGCAGAAGCTGTGCTGTGTTTCTTCAACCGATCTGTGTTGCGGTCAGCTTTATAATCCTCTATAAAATGGTTACCGCCAAACTAACAGGGTCTCCTGTAAGCTGAGATCTTCATTGTCATGCTGTCCAAAGGTGGTTCACTTTTGGTTTGGGCTGTGGAATGAACCTTGCTGATTGGGGTTGATTCAGTAAGCCATGGTTAGCTATAGCTTAGTGCAACATGTAGACCATATAGTTGTGTTCGGTGAGTCCTGAATTGCCGAATGTGTTCCTTTGGTGATAGAATGGTCTGTGATTTGATGACCTTCAGATGCCTTGAAATACAGATCCCTGGTTGCAGCCCGGATGGTTTGGACAAGTATAAATCTAAGCTCGCTCCCTACATTCACAGGGAGAAACACTTTTTTGGTTAAGAAGCAGTTTCTGTATATCGGCAATGCATTCTCTGCCTTCCGGCTTGCCATTCAACAGATACCTCAGAGGAAGAAAAAGTGTTGGGAGGGAAGAGGAGAGAGAGAAAGACAGAAGCGCTTAGAGGGGAGAATAACGTGGAGGCAAAATAAGGATGTGCAATTGAGGTGAAAACAAGAGGAGGAAGTAGAACGAAACTGGATTGCGACAGAAAGAGCAGAGAAAGCCGCTTCTGGCAGGGCAATCCTCAGTCAGCAGAACTCGGGAATCTACAAAAAGATGGAAAAATAAAAATTGCCGAGGACTGTATTCCCGTGGAGCTCACGGTCATTTTCTTCCATGGAGCAGAGTCTAATTTAGGCCTTGAATGAAATGCTGAGGTATATACTCCAGAAAGGACTGACCGGAGCCGGGATGAAGACTCAATTTGATTTAATTTCCTTTGTACGGCACGGCCATTAAAATGAACTAGAGGGAATAAAGATTCCAGCCATGCATTTAATATGCTGCTCCCCTTCGATCAGGTTGAAAATGACCCTGTGGAGATCTCCAAGTCTTCCACCCCATTGCAGTCTCCAGTGGTGGGTCTGGAAACTACCCATGAGGGGGGTTGCTTGATCTTGGCTTCGTATAAGTTGTGCATTGAGCAGAGGTATTTCTCAGTGGGGAGACCCATGTCAACAATGAGTAGAAGGTTTTAATCTGAGGATGGAGGAACACCCTGTAAGGGAAGGGCGAACAATTTCTTAATTTCACTCTTAACTAAAACGGCGGGGAGCAAAACACCTCAGTCATAAGCAGAGGGATTCGCTCCTGGGAAGAGACAAAGCCGCCTTAAACCAGGGAACTGGGTTTAGGATGACGAACTGCTCAGGAATCTTGGCTTAAGTGATGTGCGGCCTGGTCTGTATCTGGCAGCTTACCATCCGCTAATGTTGCGCTCGTCACGGCATCTCTTTCTTTGCCGTTGCTGTGGATTCATTCATTTGTTAACCACCACCCTTCATCCTTCTTCTTTCTGGTCTTCTAGCCATCAAAGTGAGCTGCGTGGGCTCCTGTGGGGTATCTAACAAAATAAATGACACGGCGTGGACGGTGGAGGAGCAGTATTTTAATAGTACCCTGTCCCTGGCAGATAAAGGTAAGAAGGGAAGAGATCTTTCGAAGGTGAAGCCAAAGTAGAAATACATGGGTTATTTATTTATTCATCATTTATTTATTTATCTATCAAATTTATCACTGCCCATCTCATTGGAAGCGACTCAGGGCTTCCAGTGAGATGGGCAGTGATAAATTTCCTTGCTTTTTTTTTTTTTAATGGTTCAGGCTTTAATGTTGTGCTGATTTCATACGGTCCAACAGGGGGCAGCATGTGGCCGGCCTGCTCAGGACTCAGAAATGAACTGGGGGTGGGGGTGGATGGGAGACCACTACGAAAGTCAGGTTAGGCTGAGAAGCTGAAAAAACACGCTGGGAAGAGCCAACCGCAAACCGTATTGATATTGAGAAAAAACTGGCCAGAGTTGCTGGGAGTCAGGTGGCATATACATCTTAATAATAGTAATAATAATAACAATAAGAATAATAAATACGGGGATATTTCAATGAGGTTTCCAGAAATAGTTGGCTTGAATTGTGCTTCATAACTGGTCACGCCGTGTCTCCCTTCTAGGCAGCTTTGTGGGGCCTTTGCTAAGGCACCATTTAGAAATATGTTCAGCAAGGTAGCTCCCCTTTCTGATTTCCTATCGTGCATTGGTGTGAGTGGAAAAAAGTGATGTTGGGGCTTCTGCAAGGGGGCCACCTGAAATCCCATGGTGCCCGGGAACCGTTTTTTTACCCCCGCCTTTAGCAGCTCCGTCGAGCTCCAGTTGCTGAATCAATGGTGGAACAGCTTCCTGCCATCGTGAGCAACCGACTCTCCCCAAAACGGTAGTGTTCACTTTTGAAACGGTCCTGTTATAGTTGGAAAGACAGCGACAGCGAAGGAACTCCCTTCTCCAAACTGGAAAAATTATGGAAGAATCGAATCCCCCCCTACAGGCAGGGCAGCGTCCCACCCCCTTTACATCGCTGATGTGCCCACTGCAGCTTTTGGACCCACTGGTGCCAGGTGGGGCTTGCCAGCCACCCAAAGTTGGCCCACCTCTGCTGAAGGGTGGCAGGTCTTCTGCAAGCTATGACCCAAAGGAAATGCCTTTACTCTCCTTTCTCTCTTTGTGCATGAAAAAGACCATCTGGGAGGATTGGAGTGTTTATGTGGCATGTCCTTGCCCCAAGCTTTCTGGTTTCAGTTGGCCGTTGTCTGTGTGGTATCCAGACGTGGTGCCAACATATTTGCAATCTGCATTCCTGTCCCTAAGCCTCTTAATTTTCTAGCGTGTCGCGTTTTCATAATTCATTAATGAAGTTTCTACGTTGCCTTTCATCACGCGCTTCCCAGGTCGATCATGAGATTCATAACGCGTAAAAGAAAAAAACGCTCCATAAAACAGAGGAAGCCAGTTGGATGAGTCACCGAACGGCATCTTCTTTTAACAAGGTGTTTTTTCACTCGGTGCTCCCGCTGCGAGAAGTCGGTATGGGAAAGAAATCCATAAGTAGACGGTGCTTCCTTCTTGTTGGCTAAATGTTTGCATTGAGCTGGAGGCGGGCTGAAGAGGCAAGCGTTATGCCAAGCAGTCTTGGCACAACGGGAATGAGTGAAGAAACAGGTATTCCTTCAGCACCATTCGGGGGCTGGCAAGAACCCTGAATGTCTGTGATGGGTGCAATCGCATAATTGCTAGCGCAGTGCTCGTGTGACTCACCTGTTTTCCAAAAGACGATTCTTTCCCCAAACACCCAATTTCCAAAAAGCAAACTACTAGTTCGTTGCCAGTCCCTAGTGCTCCCCAGTTTCCCCTTCTTATTTTTCCAGCCCTGTTTTATCTTCCATGATGCAAATACGCTTATGTTGGACAGGAGGCATTGCTAGAAATAAAAAGGATCACAGCATGGTAGAAAATGCCCGATTCAGCTAGGTGAATCTATTAAACATTTAAAGGCTGTATTAGTACGATGGTGAAGCATGATGAGGGCTAACCTTGGCTTTTCCGGCATGCATCTTGCCAGTTTAACTTTTTTTTTTCATTTAAGGACTCTGAAGTCCACAGAGATGGGGCCGAGGAAGATGTAAAACGATGTGGCCTCCCAAAGCAATTAAGTACCAATCTTTTCCCAGCCAAAATCCAGCTAAATCCTGATGCTTTGACTGGAGCACCATGGAAGGATCAGCAAGACCTGTCTCTGGCGTTAATTGGGCATGGAGGCTAAGCAGGGTCAACTTAGAGAGCAGCTGAGCTCAAGTTGAGGAAGACTTGACCTTCTACAACTCTCATGCAGCCGAGATGGGACCTAAATTTGCCGTTTCCTTTTCTGCCTCTTCCCAGACTCCAGGCTTTTTGCTAGCAAACAATTCCTTTGCAGTTTGCTCCAGCTGGGTTTTCGCTTTCACGGTGACTTCCTGGTCTGGACTGGGCTCAGTTCATAAAAGGAGATGCCTGTTAATTACCGTTTGGCACAATTGGCGCGGTGACATTGAAGAGCGCTGGCTGGGCTCCAGATTCCTGGCGCTGAAGAGCCCCTTCTCTGCCGGCCAAAAAGCGGCTGGGATGATCTGATCTTAGCAAGGCTGCACCAGAACTCCTGGTGCAAAATAAATAGATCAGCAGCAGCAGCATTTCAAAAGGAGACTGTTCACCAGTGCGGTGGGGTGTGTAGAGCAGAGGAATTTGGGGTGAGTCATCAGGGGGAAAAAAAAAAAGGAACTGGGCAGAAAGGAACAATAAACCGGTCGAGCTGCTTTTTTAGACCTTGACGCATTAAAGGGGGCAGGGTGACTGTTTCTTATCCACGACGGCTTTCAACACGGTTTCCCTTTTGTGGCTGGTCCCGGGGCCTTCCTTAAAACTTCTGTTTGTTTTTATTTATTTTTTAGTTAATTGTACCACTTCTCTTTCTAAAGCCCTGAGGGGTAGGGTGGAGAAACCAGCCAGCACAATTTCCAAGATTTAGATCTCCCCACCCCGCCAAAGCTTTGCCCTTTCCTAGCCTGTTGCAATTCAGTCCACCAATGGCCCTCTTTATTTCTCTTTATTTTATCTGGATTTAATGTATGCGGCAGGGTTTTTATTTTTTTCTCCTTTTGCTAGGTGCTTTCCTCCTGCTGTGGGTGTTTTAATTTGCATCTGTTCTACGTAACCCTCCGAGGGTCCCCTTGGAGGGCAGTGGGACAGAAACAAGTTTAGTAAATTACATTCATGAAATAAACAAGCAAACCCTGGTGAAGTCATCCATGGGGTGTGAAGTCCAAAGGAGCACTTTCTCATCGGTGGTTTTGTTTTTCTACTGGGCTGTTATCTTTTTACATGGCGTTATCCGGAGTCAATGATGAATGGCGGGGCTTGCCTACCTGGGCAGGTGCGGCAAAACCTCCACTGGGCAATCAAGAGCATCTCTTCAGGGTCACCTTTGTTTACCTTGCTCTACATGCTGTTCGATTTTGCTTCCTAATCTTTCGAGAACCGACTCAGGAAGGGACCTGGAACTTTCCAAGGACATTCTAGCCCATTGGAAACCGCATGGGGTGCTCTGCCCAACCTTCCCAGCCTGGTCTTCATGTCCGATTTCTGAAAAGCTGCCTTTATTTGCTAGCTCAGCATTTTCATCCATTTCACCCCACTGGGTCTGTCTTTCCAAGCTGCTCTTTAGTGCAAATTTTGCTCCAAGGCAGCCAGCAGGAAAACAACCCAAAGATGCATTTCAGCCTTGATATTTATAAATCCACTGAAGCTTCTCTTCAGTTGTGAAAAGCTTCCCTCCTGGAGCTGACTTGCAGCTTGGCAGAAATATGGTAGACTGAAGCAATGTGCTGCAGAGGATGACCCATGGTCTGGTTACCATCTTCTGATCTGGAGGGCAGTTACAGCCTCTGTCTTTTTTGCATTGTGTAACAAACACATGTACATACAGATGTCTCTCTATATGTGTAAATAAATGAACTAAGATACTGGAGATAGTGACGCACAAGAGGCTACCAGACCTCATTATGAGTTGGCATACATGTGGGTGAATTTTTGATGGCTGGGGAAGGCGTACCACAGACTTGAGTGTGCAAAGTGATGATGCAAAGGGCATGGAGCCATGAACCATTTTTCTGCCCCTTCCTTGGGTTTCTGAGGGAGTAGAAAATAGAGTTGGGGCCCTACCTATAGTTCTGGGTGAGGATTTCCACTGGACTTAAACAAAGCCCTTGTGAGGATAAAAAAAAGGGAGGAAATGAAGTATGCCATCAAGAAGAAGGGTGGCGTGTTGGTTCCTAGAGGGGAAAATAGGAGAGAAATACAACAAAGGGAAAAAACTTCATCTGTTTTGGTATCTCTAACCTAAATATCCCACAAGATTGGTTTAGAAAGCTGGGAATGACCATTTGCTTCTCACCTTTGATGACTTAATGGGACAAGCTTAAATGTAAGAGGGTTGCCATTCACCCACTTGGCAGGATGTCCACTTGTAAGGTGCCTCTCTTCTCTTTCCATGAATCTTGGACTCATCCCATCAGTGTGGATTGACTTGAACTTGCTTCGTGCAGAAGAAGGTGGTAAAGATGCCCTCAAGTGGAACTTGACTCCTGGTGATTTTACGGGCACGTTGTAGCTTTCTTGGTCCCAGCAGAGAAGTAGTTAGCGATTGGTTTGTTCTGGTATGTGTTTTCAACGTCCAGTCTGTGGTACGACTCTGGGAGGGCGTCTCTTCTGCAGATTAACAAGACCTAACTTTGCTTAGCTTCCAGACTTGGAGCTAAGACAAGGTCGGCCACATGCTGTCTCTTGCTGTCACTTCTTGTGGGACTGGCAGCTAAAAGAATGTTCCAGGTAGTCATGAGAAGGGCAGAAATGCCTCTCTGAATCCACCCCCAGTTTCTGAGCACTTAAAGCTATATGATCTGCCAAGGTGGGGTGAACTGCTGATCCGAATCAGTGTTTTCCTGCTTTGGCCAAGAAGCCCTGGTTGCTAGGTGCGTGTCTCACTTCACCTTACTGTAAACGGGGATGACGTCAAATGGAAAAACAGGAGCCAGGAGCTAACGGGTACAGCCCTAAGCGAGCTCAGGTTTTATGTGTCCTGCTTAGATGAGGGAACAACTAAATTGTCTGTCCTTGCTCTCTCGAATGTGGCTGGATTGCAAACCCAGGGGAGTTGGTCAAGCGTGCCTGTGCATTCAGCAGGAGACAATAGCAGAAACTTCAAAATCTCAGTGCTGTTGCATACCTTAGTCAGGTAGAACTCCTCTACATGCAGAAGATCTGCCTGAAGCAGGTCAAAATTGAAATCCTATGTAGATCTACTAGCCTCAGGGTCAAAGTCCTAAGTTCTTTCATTCTTTTGATCAAGAAGCTTTTGGCTGTTCTTTTCCCAGCCTTGAGACTGGAATGCCCTATTCCATCTTTCTGTCTGCTCTGAGCAGTGTCCCCATCTCACCAATTTCATTTCCTACAGTACCTCCCCCGACATTGGCTTGCAAAGTTGTCTTCTCGGAACTGCCATTTTGACCTAGAGGAATCCCATGGCTACCTGGTTTTGAGGCAGAGAACAAGGGGTGAGATTAGTGATGCCCCTTTGACTGGTGGCCCAACATCACGCAATGTCTCAGCTTGTGGGCATGGACACACTTGAATTGCTTCTGAGTTGGATGTAACATTAGGGTGACTTCTTCTTAAATTAATTGAGCTGGTCTTTTTCATTCTGAGAGGCTCCCTCATCCTGGTAGGTCTCCCAGTTGGTTGAGCCACCTATCGCCTCTTGTTGGGTGGGGATGGTGTTACAAATTCTCAGGAATACCTTGGATTGTAGGAAGGGTGAATAGTCTTCATGTGTTACCCTAACACAATGTAGCAGTGCAGCCTCTGCTCTTCCTCCTCCTCCTCCTCCTCCTCTTGGAGGTATCTGCATTTCCAGTACAGAGAAGAAATCTTAAAATTCCTTTTGCTTTTGTGTTAGATAAACTTTGTAAATAAGCCTTGGATACATCTTGCTTTGTTCTGCTGGCAGGCAACAGCTTGAGGGGTGGGGAGACAGAAATGGGCTTTAGAGATTAGGAGATAAAGGATTGGCAAATGTTCTTCCTGAAGCACGGGTCATTGTGTCCAGGGTGTGTTCCCTCCCTGCCTGCTAAGAATTCCACAATAGCAAGTTTGTTTCTCAGCACCTTGACCTTTGTGTGCAGAATTTGGCTCCCTTTCTTCCAGCAAGGAAAATGCAGCCAGAGGCTTGCCTGGGTACATTATTGGAAAGTTTTCCTCCCCTCATTATTTTGTGCTGGTTCTTTCAGCTAATCTTCCTGAAAGACTGCATACTTTCTTCTCCCCCCCGCCCCCCGCTCTCTTTCCCACTCCGGCTAAACCTTCACGTCCCTTTTTTGATTATGGTGGGTTTGTAAACATGGCTGATGGCTTACAAATACTGGGGGAGCCCAGTGTGGCTTAGTCAACAAGTGGTGCAGAAGCAAAACGGTGGATTAGTAGCATAATGCAATGTTTATTATGGCCCAAAGTCCCAAATACCATAGGTTTAGTGCAATGATTGAAGCTGGCCTTTCTTTTTAGCAGATGTTCTCTGCCTCCCTGCAACGATCAATTCAGATTTCTGGGTTCATTGGGGCAGGAGAGGACCTGGAGGACAGAGGGGTTGGGGAGGGAGAAATGTGGATCCCCTATTTGGTTGTGCCTCTGCTCCCCACTTTTGGACTCTGGCTCTGGCCATGTGGACCGGGGGAAAGTACACCCCTCCCTTAGAGACCAGAGCACCTCTAAAGCAAGCCTCATTGTAATGCCCTCTTTGGAAACCTGACACTCAGAGACTCTCTTTGTCAGCCTGTGAACTGGCATTAGCCAAGAACAGCTTTGCAGGACAACTGGGGTCAGGTAACAACTACCTAAATGGGGCCTTCAAAGCAGGGGGGGAGGACAGCTTTTGCGCCCAAAGGCATGGAAACATTGATAACTGCCTCTCTTGTGAAACTTGGCACTTGACCGTAGGAGTGGTGGTGGCTGGGAGAAAGCAGGAAGTTTTCAATTTGTTTCAGCCTTGCATTTGAGGGCAGAGCCAAAGGAGTAATGCTTCTTCTTGTTTTCAGTGGAGTGCTTCAAAGGTTAGAAGCAAACTTGCAGATCACGCTGCTTTTCTCCTCCTTTTCCGAAGCAAAGCCATAAACGTATGCATTATTTGTGTAGATCCAATCCATGCTCCTTGGATGAAATCAGAGGTTTTAAAATTTGGGAGCAAGCTGAAGGCTACAGAGCGGGTAGAGCCACGTGGCCCGGCTGAGATTTGGGGAGATTGTCATCTGTTTCACTCCTCCAAATCACGGGGCAGATCTTTGGTTTTGAGCAATTGTCATCTGAAAGAGGTGGAGGGCCGTAGTAAGGAAATGTGGCTTAAACACAGGCAATATCACTGGGTTGCCAGAAGATTATTTTGAATTATCAGTCCCTGCTGTGACAAATTGCTGAACTTCTGTCTTTCTCACGATGGGAAGAAATGGCTGCTAAGGCCAAAATAAACTATACGTGTCCTTATTTGCTCCAGAAAAAGAGTTTCTTATTTGGCAAATTAGCCCCCACACTTGGCTACTCTTTGAAACGCTTCGACATTCTCATTTTCTTCCCACACTCATTTGCAAAGCAGCTGCAAGCACTCCACGCTGGGTTGGAAACAGAACTTGCTGGAAACCGACAAACCGATGTTTGCTTATATTTTTTTTATCATAACGATGCTCAATAAGCTATTTGCAATTCTGGCAGCTTTGATGCTGGATTGGAGCTTATTGCAAATTTACACCTCTGTAAATTATTACAGCGCTCTGTTCCGTATACGGTATTACAGTATTCTGCAGTATTCTTCTGTTCATGGGTATTAAATGGCTGCTGGCATCTTCGTATTATCTCTCAGTGCAATTTGCTTAATTCCCCCCTGAAGAAGGGCGGAGAGTCCAAAAGCTTTCTGATAGATAGTTTTATCAGAGGGCAATGATGAAGCTGTTGTCCAGAGTTTGAGTATAGGAGTCACTGGGACCAGGTTTAATCTGTTCCTTGCCATTAAATTACTCCTGGTCTCCATCTACTGGCTAGATGGAGTCATAACATTTGGGGCTAGTGTTAGACTTTTTTTGGGGGGGGGGGAGCCAATTGATTGGACTGGTTCCCTCTTCCTCCATCATCTAGCAAGCTTTCAGTACCGTAACCGCTTCCACGCAGAATTAATCTTCCTCCACTGTTTCTTGATCTGAAAAATTTGGACGGGTGGACTACCAAATGTCTTACTCTCCCACTCTTCTGTTTTTCAGGGATCTTGACTGCCGGCGAGCACACCTTTCCGTTCCGTTTTTTGCTGCCAGGTAGTTGGAATACTTTTTTTCCTGTTCTCTGGTACAGGTTTGTGATTATACTGTCTCTCCACCCTTCCCACTTTACCTCTTGGCATGAACATACTGTTTATATATCTGATAATTTGGGGTGGTAAAAATTCAGGCTCCAGGGGCTGGCCAGACCCTTGGATGAAGTTAGTGGCAATGACCAGGTCACAGTAAGATTTGGATATTTGGCTTGGTAGATGCGTCCAGGATGCTCTTCTTCCCAACGTTTATGGGTTTGCATTATTGAATCCTATCTTCTCCCAGCCTTCACGATGGTGGGAACTTATCTGTACCTTTCAAGATGATGGGATGGATTAAAAAGAGTGAAGTTAGCTTTTGTCGTTTGGCAATAAAGTTGACTGGTTGAACTTTAGGCCACTCTAACGTTGGGACAAAATGAGATAACCGCCACGAACCCCTTCTGAGTTGGGGTTATTCATTTGTTACTTCTCTTTTTCTCTCCTCTCCTGAATGAGGCGCAACAGCAGAATAATCAGCCGCTTCTAGATCGGCAAGTTTGGGAACTGTGAGGATTTTTAAGCAGAAGTTTTATAGATGGATGATTTCCCCCCCACCCTTCTAATAGTGTATGTCCGTCCAGAGCTGTGTGCATAGTCCGTGCGACTATCAGGGAAGGCCAATGTTTGGCAATGAGGTGCAGCATTTTATCTTCCTAAGAATATTTGACTTCATGAAAAAAAAGTGCCCTTCGTAGTTTCTTGCTGTGCCTCACAGCTGGTGGGATTAGAATTAGCTAGTTGTACGGTATGCACTGGCATTTAATTTTTTGCAAGATCTACGTGCCTCCGATTTTTCTTGAAGCACAGTTGGGTTTGCCACATTTTCAGTCCCGGTTTAGCTCAGGCTAGGAGAAAACGGTTGGTGGGTTGTTCTTTGTTCAGAATAGTGTACATGTTACCTCTCTTTCCCCCTGAAAATAAGAAAATATTCTTTTCTTTCCTTCCTTGGAAACCAGCTTCGGCCCCCACCTCTTTCGAAGGCCCTTTTGGGAAGGTGATGCACCAGGTAAAAGCTGTGATTGAGACACCACGGTTTTCCAAGGATCACAAGTGCAACAAGATCTTCTACGTCCTCTGTCCGCTGAATCTGAATGACATCCCAGATATTGAGGCAAGTGGGGAGGGAGGATGAAGATTGCTGACCCGAAGCGTTAACCCACTTTTGTTTTTGACAGTGTTCAACTGAGGGCCGCGTTGCTCTGCCCAAGCCTGTTCTGTTTGTCTAAATTTCCATTTGCATGTTTGTTAATCCGCAATCAAGGTGTCTCTTGCTTGCCCAAATGTGTGGAGGAAGGAAGAACCAGCAGTGGTCTCTAGCACTGGCGGTGGGCTTGGTCCACACACAAACCACAAATCCTTCCTCATCTTATAGCTCCTGTTGGCTGGGGGGTTACAGGAACTGGGTCAACACACTAGGAGGATATAAGGTTGCTTGCTTCCGTAAGGGATGTCCACTCAGCTGATATGGTCCTCATCTGTGTGTTTCATCCCCGCAGCACTGCAACACCAACTCCATCACCAAGAAGTTTAGCTACAAGCTTGTGAAAACTGGAAATGTGGTTTTGACAGCCACCACCGACCTGAAGGGTTACACAGTAGGGCAGATCATCCAGTTGCGAACGGACATCGAGAACAAATCTGGCCGGGACACTAGCACCATTGTGGCAAGTCTCATCCAGGTAACAGTCTCTTGAAGATGGTGTTGGGTTGTCATGTTGGCTTGGTGTGCGGTCTTGAGATATTTGGCCCTGTGTGCTTCCCTCTTTCCACAGAGTGTTCAGTTCAGCTGCCTCCTTGATTCATTCACTTATATATTAACATTGTAAAATATATATATATATATATATTATCATGTATAATATTTACATACTGCCTGGCCTTCAGATGCTCAAGCTGGGGTATGGAATTGGATCTTACCATAAAGTTGTGAAGTAGATTAGGTTGAGAGACAATGCCTGGCCCTCCAGTATCTCATGAGTTTCCCGGAGATGAACCAGATCTGTCTCCAATCTCTAAATAAGCTACTTTACCAAACTTGTGGTAATGAATTCCCTAGGTTAGTTCTGCGCTGCAACTTTCTTTGGCCTCTTTCGAATCTCCTTTTGCTCAGCTTCACTGATGGGCCCTGCTCCCACTGTCCTGTGAGAGGGAACAAAACTTCTCCTGGTCCACGCTAGATCCTCTGCATCTCAATCACATGGCCTTTTTGGTTCCTTCTTTTGGAGAAGCTTCTTCGTTTTGTTAGGGTTGGGTCTGGGGAAACGTGGGTATCTGTTAATAAATTCTTCTCTTCTCCCCTTGAACTCTTCCCTCCCCCCCGGCTGCCAGAAAGTTGCCTATAAATCCAGGCGGTGGATTTATGACTTGAGGACCATAGCTGAAGTGGAGGGCTCAGCTGTGAAAGCATGGAAATGCGCCGAGTGGAAAGAGCAGATTCTTGTCCCAGCATTGCCACAGTCCATTCTGCAAGGCTGCAGTCTTATCCATATTGATTACTACATCCAGGTGAGATCAGATTCCTGTTCTACCAGACATTGTGATCAGGGATTTACAGCTGAGAACCTCTGGTTGCTGAGAGGACAAATGGATAATAACCCTGGGCTGCCATAGGTGTTCCTCGCCATACATTTCAATATCCCTCTTAGCTTCCAAACAGTGAAGTGCTGGGGAGAATTTGGGAACCATTCAGTAGTGGTTCTAATACTAAGCCTTCGGTGTTATTTCTTCTTTTCCCAACACCAAATATAAATAAATGTGGGTTTCACCTTTTGGAGCTGAGAAATTGATGCAGGAGAAAGCTAGTTCCACTTGGTTGAAAATCTGGCATGGTCAAATCTGGGGCTAGGATTCATGGACTGAATATTTCATGCTTTGCAGAATGATTCACTTGTTGACTTCTTACAATGCTGGACTGTTTTGATGTTTCATGGCCTTTTTCCCAAATAGGAAGATGGGTTGGCCCATCAGTGGATGAGTGTACTTTGAGTTTGAAAGTTAAAGGACAACTTTTATGTCCTTCAGTCTACTAATACCTGAAAGACAACAATAAGATAAATCTGTTATCCTCACTCCTGCTTGTGAGCTTCTAAAACTAGCTAGATATGTGACGTGGAGGCATTAAGAGGCTGGATTAACTAGCAGAGTGTGCAAGGCCTTAGATCCAGTTGCAGAAAAGTGCTTTGAAGTACAGTGGGTAGAACACAGACATGGCCCTTGTCTGCAACTTTTTAAAGCAGCTGCATCTTTTCCAAAGATCTCGTGACAGCCCTTTATGTCTATGTATGCGCCTCTGCATCTTCCAAAGCATCATTTCGCTATTATTTTTATTTTGACATCTGGTTGGATCCAACCTGTCTCTTCTTGTGTTCTTCAACCCGCAGGAGTAGGCAACCGATGACCATCCTCCCCAAATGTTATTGCTGAATTGTTAGTTTGAAGGGGATAGAAGGAGACAGTTAAATACTCCAACCATTCTCCTACAAACTAGATTCAGTGCACTTTAAAATAAATAATCTTCCAACTGAATTGGATCCAGTTTAATTTTTCCCTGGCCCTGACCCATGTCTTCGAACGTGACCATGGGCTTACTTCTCAAAAATCTGAGTGTGGCCCTTGGCTGGAAAGATTGTGTGATTTTGTGGTGCTGTATTAATGAGAATCTCCACCCTCCTTATTTCTGATCATTCTCAGGTCTCCCTCAAGTCTCCCGAAGTCTCCATTGCACTGCCAATTTACATTGGGAACATTCCTGTGAACCGGATCCCCTTAAGCCCTTCCCACTTATCCCCAAACATTCCCTCGCCTGTGGTTCCGAGTGCACCCCCCGAAGAAGAGGAAGCAGCCGGGGGCTATTCCCACCCCATGGACAATATTTCAATCCCTACCAAGAGTCATTCTCAACAGCTGCCCTTCAGCTATGCCCCGGGCCTAAGCTTTCCAGAAGTGAGACCAGATTCTGAGCAGACCACCTCACCCAACCATCCCACACTTTGCTTGTCAACGGGTGCAACGGTTCCTTATTACGCCGAGGGAGCTGTCGTTCCGGTGGCTACGGCCAGCTCTTTGATCCTACCGCCAGAGTATAGCACCTGGGGTTACCCATATGGTAAGCCACTGCTAGATTTGGAAATGAATTGTCCAGGGGCTGTGGAGAGCCGAGACGAGAATTTGGCCTCCCTAGCTGGGATTGCATGTGGTCCTGCAGCATAGCCGTAGAACCAAATGATTCAATACTCCTCCGATTACAATGCTCCCAACGTGTGTCTCTCTTTTCTTCCTCCTTTCCTGCCAGAGGCACCTCCTTCATATGAACAGAGTTGCAGCAGTGCTGCCTCTAGCTTGAGCAACGACATCTGATTTGGAAATCTGAAGGCCATGGTGAATCAGGAGGAAGGACAGTACACAGCCTTGCTTGGAAGAGGTGGTCTCACCTGGCCCCAGGCCTGCTGGCCACTACTCACCAACCCTACGCATGCCTTGCACAACCCATCTGTGAACTATGGGGTCTCGCCACCTAAGTTTGCTGCTTGACTCTCCAAACACCTGCGATGCCTTATCAGGAATGCAGCCGGGATGGAAGGGGGCGGACGGATCCCTCAAGCGTGTGAACGTACTTTTTTGTTTTTTGAGTGCTGCTCTTGATTTGCTACGGAATTCCCACGGTGGGACTGACTGGAAAGCAACATTTTGTTCTTCTCCCCTGTTGCTCTAGGACTCTCTCTCGAGAGGGGTGCAAATACTGTCGGAGAGCTCTTTTCAACATTCCTGTGATCCACAGGCATCCTTTTTTAAATGGTGTAACGTGTCAACAGGGTTATCGGCAGGAGTTCTTGCAATCTTTAAAACTCTGTGCCTGTATATTGGAGCTTTTCCAGGGTTGGAGGTCTGTTTTGAAAGGGGAAGATAGATGCAAGTTTTCATAGCACTGAGCCAGCCTTGGGTAGAAGAAAGATCTTTATTGATATTAACTTGGTCCCCAAGGCCTTTCCATCCAACAGAGTCCTCATGTGTTCAGACCACTCTGGCTGGCCAGGATGAGTTCCAGATACACCTCTGGGCATTTTGTCTTTGAGCATTAGTAGGAGTTGCTCTTTAATTTCCTCTCCAGAATCCTCCAGAGTTGAACTCCCATCTGGCTGGTAGCATCTGACAATCATGGTTGTGTCCTACTTCTGTCTCTACCTTCTTGCTTCTCATGAAGCAAGATGGAATCACGAGAAGGGGTAGAGAGAGACACGGCTAAAATTTAAAATATCTATATAATTTTGAAAAAAAAAATAGAGACCTTATATCTCAATGACCTTTTGACCACAGAGGACCTGGTCCTGATGGTCCCCTTGCCTACGCCATCTGTTTATCTGGCTGGTGATCCCTGCCCAAATGTGGCTGGTTGGCTATTTTTAATTTTTTTAAAACTTTTGTTCAAATGGAAGATTCTCTGTACACTTCCCAAAAGATGCTTCCCCAAGTCACTGCCTCAGTCATCTGTCTTCTCTCAAACCACCAAGGTAGCTTCAGGAGGTGTGTGGTGCTTAGTTTGGAGACAGTGATCACCTTTTCTGTAATGCATTTCCTGGGACTTAAAACCTCCCACCATCTGATTTATCTGTCCTTTCCTATTGGTGTCAACTTCTGTGATTACACAGTGATAAAACCTCCCACCCATTCACAGGATCCCAGTTGTGTGGACACAACCCATGGAGACTCCTAAAATTAACTGCTTTTATAAGGCAATTGAAACCTCTCTCTCTCTCTCTCTTTTCGATCAACTTGTTTTAATTGTGAAATTTTAAAAACAATTTTAATGTATTTAATAAATTATTCTGAGAAAACTGCAAAAGGTTTTGGTCAATGTGCCCTCTCTTCCTCTTTTGATTCAGCTTTCTGTAGGCGTGATTTGGTAGGTTTTGAGATACTTCTCCTTAATCAGTTGTATCTTGAGAACATAAAACCCTGCCAGGTCAGACTAAAGATTCAGCATCCTTTTTCTTAAAAGCACCAACTCTGGAAAGTCCATGAGAAGTACAGAAAATATTAACTGCCTCCTACCTGTCTCAATAGAGGTGAATATGTGTAGCTTAGGGTTGAACTGTGGAGTCCTTGGGGTTCTCAAGCTCAGAGAACCCCAAGGACTTCTATCTGTCTTCCCCACAACTGGTATGAAGTTGTGTTTTGGGAACCCAGCAATTGTAGTTTGTCAAGCAGGGTTTATAGATTTGCATGACACGTGAACAAATTCAGCTGGAACTGATGAGAGCTCAGTCCAAAACACTGAGTGGACACCAGAGTGCCCAACTAAAGTAAAACAAGAACTTCAGCATGTGGACATCCTACTACAGATAGTACATTCAATTCTCCCTTATTACAAATGGTGACGCATCCGCTGGACAGTTCTTCAAAAATAAAAATGCCTCTAATGGTAAATGATATCCCTTTGAGTTTTCCTTCATGCTTACGATCCATTCCTGGATCCAGACCAGTAATTTCAAGATGCCCAAGATAATCACGGAGAAGTCCGATGGAAGCTTCACGGCTGCCCCAACATTGCTCAATCTAAACGCATTGCAGGAAATGTCTTGCTCCCATGATGGCCTTGCATTGCTCCTCTCAGTTTTTTGGGAGGGAAGGGGAGGATCTTCCTAGCATGGCAGTCTTCCTGATGGCTGCCAGGAGCTGCAGAGGGCAGACTTTTATTTTGGAGGAGTGTTGGAGATGAAGCCTTCTACTGAGCCCCATTGGGTGGCAGTAGCGTTTCACTTCTCTAGCTATTTTTCACTTGCCTGCAAAAGGATTGGGTTTAATGGCCTACTTCAGAGGAAAGCTAAGGTTTGCAATCTTGTGTCTTTATTTTTCTGGTGCACTCAAGAGTTGCCAAGGCTGTTTTTTAAAGAATCTTGCCTTCTCAAGCAGCAGTTGCTGGAGCAATTGGTTTATTGCAACTATTTAGACTTCCCCATGACTGCTCTGGCTGGGGGTCATAATGCACACTAGACACTTAGAGTTGGTCCTTTGACTCTCACCTGCAAGGTGGAAATATATCTCTACCTTTGCTAAGAACAGTTTTGAGAAGCTTAAGACGATTCATGGTTTGGACATCTCTCTTCCATTTGTTTATGCTGGGGGGAGATTTTAAGTTATATTTGATACTGAATTGGAAAATGATTCCTCAAAAGTAGGTCCTCTCCAGATATTATGATCTGGCCCTTCCATTAGGGAGATGTTTCTGCTGGCAAAGTGAAAAAAATGGGGGCACGCAGACGAGCTTGGGTTGGGAAGAATCAGATTGAATCTCAGCCAACCTGCTGATCTGCATGCAATGTTTAAAAACAACTAAGGATCCCAATTTAAAATAGGCTGTTTCTTGTAATTTCAGCTTCGTGGGTCTGAGAATCAGCCTTGCGTAGCTTGTTGAGGCTTGCTGTCTTCATTAAGATCTCTTTGTTCTCTGCTGGAATACTGTAGTTGTCAAAGAGCATGGGTGGAAAAAGAAGACCTTTGGATGGATGGAGGAGAACCATTTTATCAGTGGTCTAGGCTGGGAAGTAGAGGGACTTTTGTTGATCAAGAGCAACAGAACAACTCTAAAATTCCCAGGAAGAATGCTTGAAGTTTATATTTAGATTTAACCAGAGAATTCAATGTGTTTACAGTCTTGCTAGTCTCTCTCAATAGTTGCCCAACTGGAAAATGGCTGAGTTGACTATAACTTCTTTAACCATGATTGTTGAATCAAGCACCATGGGTTGGCTTGCAGAGCCAAATCTTACACCACAGCTAAAAAGAGACTACTGCAAGGTTTCCCCCACACACCCAGTGAACCCCAATCATCCATGATAGTCTGTCAACCATAAGTTATGGATTAGTGTAAGCCATCTTAGATGCTCATACGAGGAGAAAATCGGGGTATAATTTTAACAATAAAGATGAATTTAGCAGTGTGATTTTCTCCAAGGAAAATGCTGCATCTATGACAGAGCCCTAGGTAAGATTCCAACAACTTGATTCTCACAATTGGAGAAGGCAGGATGGATCCAGTAAAGACTGTCCCCTCCTTTCATTATAATCTCTCAGTGTGAGCTTGCTGTTACCTCTTTCAGCTAAAGGCAATGTCTATTTCGTTGCTCCCAAGTCTGTAATCAGCGTAAATTTGAAGTCTGCTGTTTTTGTTATATCTTGGCCTCAACTGTTGTCTCTTTTCAACAACTACTACTACTTCCTCCTTCTCCTTCTCCTTCTCCTCCTCCTCCTCCTCCTCCTCCTAAGATGCTGTTCTGCTATCTGCTAGGTGGTTAGTTCAAGGACCATCCTGGGCCCTGAAGAATGTGTTGAGGACCACACTTCAAAAATGGGCAGAGCTAAGGCGCAGAGAGAGCTGTGGTTGTCAATGGTGGGCTTAAAGACTCTGCTTCATACAGAGGCAAACTAGGTGAGGCCTGCAGATTGCATATTTCAGTCACCTTTGGATTCATCCTTATCTCAGGGAGGTGGGAGGGGTAGTGAATAGCACTGGAGAACTGCGGTGAATAAGATGTAGCCTTTCCCTCACCCAATCTCCTTTAGACATGGTGAACAAGTCCCAGGATTCTCAAGCTAGCTAGACTATGGATGCATGTACTTCCAAGCAATCCAGCGGTCTATTAATATGACTGGAAAAAAAAATCCTTACTATTAAAGTACTGTAATTAGGACTATTATCCCAGAGATAATTTATTATTGTTAGGGTGCCACATTTGCAGGGAGTAGCCAGGGATGATGAAACCTGTCCTTAGCTAATAAGCTCGGAGAATAACCTTCCCACCCCCCATCCCCAGAGACGAAGCACAGGTAAAATGATGCAAGAATTGCATATAGAAAGAATGGAGTTCTTCGAACAAGTTGGATGCTGAACAAAATCAGGGACATATAACGCCCGGTGTGCACAACACACCAACCCTTGTCGTAACCAGTTTGGTCTTGGCCGAATCTCTTCATAAATGCAGCTGTTTGGAGATCAGGGTGTGACTTAGCACAGCCCGTGAGCACCACTGTGGCTTATGCAACAAATCATGGTTAAAATTTGAAGCGTGAGTGCTCTTCTTCGGACCCGGCCAAGCCCTCATCCGGTATATTCTGTTCCTCCTTTTTCTGGAATACGCTCTCCCGCCAAACTCTTGCAAGTCTCTCGTGCCCCCTAAGCTTCGCCCTGTCTTTTTCGTTGTTGAACTGCTGGAAAAGAAGAAAAGTCCATTCTGCAGAATCTGCAAAACGTCCTTTTTTGATGGAGAGGGTGCTCTGTGGGCTGAAAAGCGTGCCCATGCTGAGAAGAGGGGTGTCATCAAGCAGAAAGGCGGGTTTCCCGACTGGTTTGCGTCTCCATCCGATACAGAAACGACCTCATCGTCTAGTTAGATCGCCCCATCGAAACCCTTTGAGGCTGCAAAGACGAAGCTCTCCTTTGCCATTCGGAAAGGCTGAGTTTGCAAGAGACGAAGCGATGGAAGATGGAAAGGTCGGCCGAGCTGGGACCAAGTTCAGCACCAGAGACAGAACACGGGACGTGGCCGGGTCCAGACGGATGGCAAAGCCCGTGAAGAGCCGGGGAACGACCCTTTTCATAAACCATAATTTCACCTGCTTTGTGTCTTGTTTTGCACAGCACGGCCACGTCGGAAAAAAAGCAGAAACTATTTAGCCTAGGAGGAAAGGCTGTTCTAGCTTGCATGGGATCAGTTTTCCCTTGCATTTGGCCACTACGTTAAAATCAGAAGTCTCACTCCAGCAGGGCAAGGGAATCAAGGCTCCCGAGGTGGAGAAATTTCCCCCTGCAACTTTGAGCGGGGGGGAGAACAGCCCCAGGAGCCAGATCTTTATTTTATTTTATTTTATTAATTTATTTTTAGAAGCGTGTGTTCAAAATGCATTTCTTCCTGCCCTCTGCAAGGATGCAAGGGGCCCCAGGAGCGGCCCTCCCAGGAGGAAGCTGATTTTCAGCAGCGGTGGCTCTTCTCCGGCGAAAATGCAATCCCGCTTTCTCCCTCTTTTTCTGGCTCGCGCAGCCAAGCTCCG